TCCCCTGGCGCAACTTGAGGCCGTTTCCTCTCGTCCTATCGCTTGTTCTTTGGGAGAAGAGACCAACCCCCACCTCGCTACAGCCTCCTTTCAGGTGGTTGTAGAGAGCGATGAGGTCTCCCCTCAGCCTCCTTTTCTCCAGGCTAAACAACCCCAGTTCCCTCAGCCGCTCCTCATCAGACTTGTTCTCCAGACCCCTCACCAGCCTCGTTGCCCTTCTCTGGACACGCTCCAGCACCTCGACGTCCTTCTTGGAGTGAGGGGCCCAAAACTGAACACAGCATTCGAGGTGCGGCCTCACCAGGGCCGAGTACAGGGGCACGATCCCTTCCCTGCTCCTGCTGGCCACACTAGTTCTGATACAGGCCAGGATGCCATTGGCCTTCTTGACCGCCTGGGCACACTGCCGGCTCATGTTCAGCCGGCTGTCGACCAACACCCCCAAGTCCAACCAACTTGGTCTGGGTTCCTGTTATGGAAATCTTCAGGTCCAAAGCTGACATTTTGTGCACGTATAAGAACTTTCTTCTGTTGACAGCGTAAAGTATTGATGGTTTTAGATGCATGTTGCTGCTGTCCTTTTTGTAGCAATATAGTGTCTGGTTACTGTAGGCATGGACTTGGGACTTCTTCAGCATAGAGTGATCACATAGTGTATGCTATATAGTTAGCATATACTAAAATGGTAGCATATGCTAAAGAGAGAGCACAAAAATGCAGTACTGTTCTCTAAGATAGGCATTGGTCTATGTATACTGCTTATCCCAAGCATTGCCCATCTGTTGACATTTTGAAGAACAATGAAGGACTTGGGGGTACTGGTGGGTGAAAAGCTGGACATGAGCCAGCAATGTGCGCTCGCAGCCCAGAAGGCCGATCGTATCCTGGGCTGCATCCAAAGAAGCATGGCCAGCAGGTCGAGGGAGGGGATTCTGCCCCTCTGCTCTGCTCTGGTGAGACCTCACCTGGAGTCATGTGTCCAGCTCTGGAGCCCTCAGCACAGGAAAGACACGGACCTGTTGGAGCGGGTCCAGAGGAGGGACACGAAAATGATCAGGGGGCTGGAGCACCTCTGCTATGGAGAAAGGCTGAGAGAGTTGGTGTTGTTCAGCCTGGAGAAGAGAAGGCCCCGGGGAGACCTTATTGCAGCCTGTCAGTACTTAAAGGGGGCTTATCAAAAAGATGGGGACAGACTTTTTAGCAGGGCCTGTTGCAACAGGACAAGGGGGAATGCCCACAGCAGGGGGGTTGGACTAGATGGCCTTTAGAGGTCCCTTCCAACGCAAACCATTCTGTGATTCTATGATGTAGATACCAAGTGTTTAGAAGCAGCTCATCACGAAATGTGAAGGACAAAACCGGATGAAAAAACCCTCATAAGTACCTGTTTAAAAATGTGGTGTGATACTGGAGAATCCCCAGTGCATTCACATTGTCCTCTGTTGGTACCTAAATATATCTGAGCGTCTTTTCTCCACCTATGTCTGTTGTAAGGTGAGCATCCATCTTGAGAATTTTTGTTTGCCTTGTCATTTCAATCCATGCATGTTTCCTGGCAGTTTTCTCATGCATTGTGCCACAAATGTTAAAACAAAAAAACCCCAACCAGCCAAACAAAAAAAACTGACCAAAAAAAGTCCCCACCAAAAAACCAAAGGGAACACCCCCACTCTGTTCAAACAAACCAAAGCAACCAAACCAAAAAAACACTGCAGAACAAACTGTGGTTTACCTTTCTTGGTTTGTGATGTTGAGCACTGTAATTTGCATCCTTAGCATAATTGCAGTTATTCTGGTTTTAGTTCATTCCTGTTTTGAACTTGAGATAGGTTTAAAGTGCGACGGTGAATATAGACTTCCCATCTTTCTTCTTCCTAGCTTCATCAGTAAGGGATCCTTCTGTATCTAATTGTTCAGGCTTTAAAAACGGGTTTGTCAGTTATTCAAATAGATCTCATATGACTAATGTAGCTTCCACAAATTTTCCAAATATTTGCCAGTTTCTCTTCTCTCTCTACTCTATTTGTCTTTAGAATGTGTAACTCTCTGGTCCAGAAAGATAATTTCCTAGATGTTTGCCCCATCACAGATAATAGCAGGAAAGAATCAGCAAGGAGAGCTTGTGAATCTAAATAGTAACACGTGATTATTTTTGGTGAGCAGGCACAGGATTGTTGAGCTGTTCATCTAATGAAAATTTCAAATCTTTTGCTCCCGTCAAGAAAGGCAAGAGACTTGGAGGAGGACCTGAGACAACATACCTTAGGACATGATTTTCCTGAGGCCATACCTGAAAAATCCGTACAAGATAATTCCTGAGCTATGGGTCAGTCGGGCTTTGTGGATATGTCCCTGCAGCACTTCATAATCATGGAGAGACCAGTTTACTTATGCAGGTCTCATTTCAAGGACATTGCTGAACAGATAATTCACTCATTTGCTTTGCAGAGAGCATGAAGGGTAATGCTAGCTCCTTTAAAATTTTAAAAGTGTATATCTTGGTCAATCTAACCTATTTAGCTGTAAATTATGTATGGTAAGTGTTTTATGACCGTGGTCCATGCAGCTTGAATGACCTCTTAAAAAACTGAAATCCTAACACCTGCAAGGCAGTAAAGTGTCTGCAGGGAAAGAAATTGATGTCATAGTAATATCATGACTTCAAACGTACATGTTACCAGACAGTAGCAAAATTAATTGCAGCCCTTAATATACACTATTAGTCTCATACCCTGCTTCATCTCTGCCGTTAGCCCTTTCCTCAGCCCCGTCTGTGCTACTTGCGCAGCCTCTTGCGTGGTGGTGGTGAATGGGAGCGTCTGGCATTGCCGTACCCTTTTTCTTGCTGGTTGGTAGCACGGCTCTGTGCCTTCTGTGGTAGCACGGTAGGAAGCCTGTCTCATGGGTTTAGCTGGAATCCGTGGGTTCTGGTAGGTAATTGCTGGGAGAAATGACGGTTATGGTATCTCTAGTATCACTATCTTGCCGCTCTGATGTGAGGCAAGTTCCTCGGGGACTGGTTCCAGCTTTGCAGAAAAATGAGATTGGTTTGGAAGCAGGGGGTTAGGAGGGTAGAATGAGGGACATGTGCACCCAAAGCCCAAGGACAAGAAGATCTAATATTATCATGATTTATTTTTTTGGTGTTGCAGAAGAGTCAAGTGGTATTGTCCCTTATGTCTTGATAAAATAGTCTCTACTAAAAACAATTTAAAAGATCAAATAACTAATCTACCCCTTGGAGTCAATCTGTCATGGAGTTTAGAGAGACGCTAGCGTTTGAAATAAAGCTAATTACTGGTACAGTAACTGGCATTCTTCAAGATGACATGCATGTTTGAAGTGATGAGGAAAAAAAGAGAATACTAATTAGTTCCAGAAACTCTTAAGCTTGGGGCAGTGTATGAGGATAGCTGGAACTTGTGGGTGAACAAAATGAATCACACGGCCAAAGTTTCCCAGTGCCCAGCTCTTTGAACACCTGCTTCAGTTGTACAGCTCGATAATGCATTGTGAAGAACCTTGGTTGAGAAGATAAGGCACTCCGTTTGCATATATTTATTTAACTTAATAAAATGAATTTATTTCAGGAAGTTGAAAAAAAGAAACTTTTACATATCTGCAAAAACGCCATTGAGGTTTTTTCCTTTAAAAAAATAAAATACAGAAGCACGTTGGTTCTGAGTCTATGATTTTCTAAAGTAGGAAAAAATAAGGAAATAAAATATATTCGCAGATTACTTTATACCACCATACGCTTATTTTCCTTTTATGAACAGTTAAGGAAAAAGGTTTTGGTGGCTTTCAAGATGAATATATGTTTTGAGATCTTCACCAGGGAATAATTAACAGGCAATGGACAACTGCTGAGGGAAACTGTTAATCAGAGAGTGTATATATTAACTGCCAAGACACGACTTTCTTTTCCTTGGTTGACATTTAAGCCTAATGAAATCTGTTCTGCCATGTTGCATGAGGGTGAGCTGACTAACTCCCTTAGAGTTAGATTCTCGTGTAATTGTAGAATAATTGTTTGGTATTTTTGCTTTTTTTTTATGTCTAAAAAAAAATATTTCATGAGTTGGTGAATCTGGTAACAAAAGAATAATATAATGTAGTAATTTTAAGTGAAATTTTACACTGATACTGAATTAAGTTGCTTTTTTTTCGCTGGAGTTGACTGAAATTTAGCACCTGTCTTTTAGGACTACATAGTGAAGTAAGCTGCAAGAGGTACTAAATCATCCCTATGCCTCCTTACCTTGGGGTAGAAGTTCCACTATGTTGCTGTTGCTTCTTTAATCTGTTTTCCTAAGAAAGGGAGGCCTGTGTGACCAAACTATACATTTGTTTTTCTTTCCACCTTAATTATATTTAAGATCTTTACCTCCCTGACAAATATGATTTGACCTTGGGCATCAGGTTACAAAGTTAAATGAATTCTTACGAGTTTTGTTTAAAGACAACACAAGTCCCCACCCCCAAAACGAACATCCCCACAAAAACCCTAGGCAGGGAAGAGGAGTGTTATTGATATCTGTCAGCCAGGGAAAGGCAGGTAATACGCTTTCTCCTTTTGAACACCAAAGTCTCTAACGTGCAAATCTGTAGAGCTCTGCACTTCATTGGCTCAACTGCTCATGGAGAGGTCTTGCTTGCTTTGTATTTTGCAAACAAAATCTCTTTGAACAAAAAGGAATTCTTTACGTGATATTGCTATGCAGCTCTGAGTCTTGCGAACTTTAAGATTAGCAACTAAAATGTTTAGAATTAATGTTTCCTGTACTGTGCACCACTTTAAAAGGTATTAATGAGTCTAAAGTGTATCTCTCTGTTACGTAATATGATCGTTATGAAGAGATGTCTGTCTTTCTACTGGTCTTTTCATTTACCAAATATAATCAAACCGTTTCAGTTGAGGGATAAAATGTTGTTCACAGTAAGTTGCTCTTGTAACAGAAATTCTAGCACAAACAATGTTTGCCATTTTTGTCTTCAGAATGATTGAGGAGAGTGGGAAGAGGAGGAGGACAATGGCAGAGAAGAGACAGCTGTTCATGGAAATGAGTGAGTAAGAAATTTGAAGACATAATGTCATTTATTCTTTACTGAGAGCTTCACTTTGATAGTTTTACCAGATCATTTACATCTTGTTTCTGCATGACCATTGCCTCATCTAGTGAAAAGCATCCTGGGTGCTCCTGGGTGCTGGTCAGGAGGAGAATGCAAGAGGTGAGTCACAACTGCCGAAAAGGTCATTCATTTCTAGGTTTTGTGAAGCTCCTTTTTTAAGGAACATTAACATTTCTCATATATGGCAATATCTAAAGTTTGTGGACAACTATTAAAATAAATAATGACAACAGATCACCTTTTACCTTAAAAAAAAAAAAAAAAAAAAAATTGCACCACAGTGCTAGCGTGACTCAGTTTGAGGGGTTTGGGGTTTTTTTTTTGTACAGGACCATTCTCTGAAAGAGAGGCTGTAATTGTTACTAGAAATCAAATGCCCGTCCAGAGATAATATAATTTAAAGGAATGAGACATAGCCTTTTAAAAAGATACGTGCAGTTAGAAGTAAAAGATTGTGTGTTTGCATGACATCATGTTATTTTACTTTCCTATGGGAACACAGGACTGAATGAAGTTCCTAGGTTAGGCAAGCATGTCCTGTAATTCCAATTATAGGCTGATGAAGGTCTGTCTTGAAACAATAGTATATTCGTGCTATTTTGTTGAAGGAATTCCAGAGTAATATTCTTACTGTGGTTATAAGCGTCTTACAATTTCAGGAACAGTTTCATTCCTGGCTAACTTATATCTGCTTCCTCTCATGTGAGACCGGTCTTGGGTAGTATTTCTCCCCACCTTCCCAGCTTGCTTTACATTTGAGTTTATAGTCATGTCTCTTTTTGGCTTGTTCAGCATATGACACGAGCTAAGTCCTGTGGTCTCCCTGCTATACACCTCCTGTTCTTCTCTGCCTCTATTCAGTTTTACTTGAGCAAAGGTGACTGAATTGTGTGTGATATCCTGGATGAAATCTCATTAGAATCTTTTAAAATGACAATAGTACTTCTCCACTAGAAATGCTTTGACTGGTGCATCAGAGTATTACATTTGTCTCATCAATTTAAAGTATTGTAGTCGTCTTGTGATCATTTAGTACAGAAATTGACTTGCTAATTTTTAGCTTTGGCTAAATTGTTAAAAATATTCAGGATTCTTCTGACTATCTTTATACAAGGTGTCTCTTTTTGCAGCTGTGGTTCTTGCTGTTCGTTATCCGTGAAAGTGCTGGTGTATAGACATTCCGAACTGCCTTTCTCTGTAAGGCTCTTTAGCATATCAGTATGAGAAATCTAAGGTCTTCAAGCTTCACCTGTCCTGTGGTGGAATATTTCACTATAAAGTAAACACATAAATGTATTCCTTTCTAGGTGAGCTTCAAACACAGAGTAGATGTGCGATGTCTAAAATGGATGCTTTCAGTGATCATTTCTTGTTGGTCAACATACAGATTTGCTGAAGTGTTTAGATAACTGCTCGTGTGAGACAAGAGTAGGCCTTGTCATTCACCCACATTGGACATGCTACCCAAGGATGTGTGTGGGGGTTTTGTAGTACTTACGGAGCTGTCTGACAGGCAAGAATTCTGTGCAAGCTATTTTAATTTCTCTGAACTGCAGAATGCATACGGAGTTTATCTTATGGGAGGGGATAAAGAAGATGGAACCAAACTTTTCTCAGCCCAGTGGCAGGATACAAGGCAACAGGCACAAACTGAAACACAGCAAATTCCATCTGAATGTAAGAAAAACCATTTTTAGTATGAGGGTGGTTGAGCGCTGGGAGAGGTTGCCGAGTGAAGCTGGGGAGTCTCCGTCCTTGCAGATATTCAAAACTCAACTGAATACAGTCTTGGGCAAATTGCTGAAGCTGTCCCCGCTTGAGCAGGGCGGTTGGACTAGATGATCTCCCTTCCAGCCTCAACTATTCCGTGATTCTGAGCTATACAGATTGTCTTGAAAACACATCCTATTTTATCTTCAGGTAGTTTAGAAGAATGACCTTGTTGAAGCTTTTGTGGTAATGTAACACAGGAAGACAAGAACAGAAAATGGACAACTCTTTGTTTTTGTTTTTGCATGTAGCTGTTTGACCTTTTATAGATGTAGAAAAATATACCTACATGTATATTTTATGTACATTTATATACATATATTTTATATAGACAAAGCATTCTGTGAAGACTCATGGCCTGTGGAAGTGCTTTCTGTGGTTTGAAAAATAGAAGTATGCACCCTAATTGAGAGTTTTGAAAGAATATTGCATAGAAAACACAAAATGAGCTAATTTGTTGTAGCCTTGGATCTGAATACTCCAGCTTACATTACCTGGCCAAGTACTTTCCTGAAATATATCAGAGACTAGTTTTCTAAAGATGATACTGTGAAATAATCCACTTAAGTTTGTTGCACCTTACTATCAAGCAGAACACTCCTCAGGTGTTGGCTAGTCTAGTGCCACTCTTAGGTAAGCTGTCATGGGGATCCTTGGGTTGGGAAATTGGTCAGCCTCCTCACCGATCTTGTCAGAATCTTTTCACCTCATGTTCTACATCAGTGATGAAGAGAAATAATCCTTGTATGTCACTTTCAAGACACCGTACATAGGTCTCTAAGAACAAGCAGATGCTTTGGCATGTGCGCGGATGCTTTGGCATCCTATTTGCGAAATTGTAATGAAATATCTAAAAGACAAGAATACTTTCTTAAATTTGCATCTGTGAGTCAGTGGGTGCATACACAAAGGTAATGCAAATGAGGTATTTGCAAGTTGGTTTCTGAATTCAGAATGTAGGAGGGAGTAAACTGTCCCCTTTGAGCAAGACCCCCTGATACAGCAGTCGGATACCTTCTTCGGGAGGATGTGGGTTTAGTTTTTTGTTTTAAATTATTTTTTAGAAGTCTGGATTCTGTAAGTCACAGTTCCCCATTCCTCAGTTCCCTACTCATCTAGGCTCTGGCTTTTGAGAGAAGTATGAAGGACTGCAGCTGATCCTGCTTTTATGCACTCGCTGAGAATACGAGAAGCACAGGAGCCACGTGCATCCGTACTGTTGCCCACGTGCAACTGGATTGTTTCACACTACACCTTAGAACTATATTGATTATAGGATGTAGCCATGAATGCTGTTGAAATGTGAGCCCTTTAAAAGGCATTTTGCTTTATGATTAATGGGATTTTCAAGACTTGACGTGTTGGCTGCTTCCAAATTAAAATGATCAATACTGGAATTTAAGCCAGTATCGTCTGATGTCCCCACTTCATTTATCATCTCATTTGATCAGTATGGGAGGTACGCAGGTCTGTTTGGCAGAGAGTTAACACAACTTTCTGAAATTGCTCAAGTTTGTAATGTTCAGAGTAATTGCTGGAACTGGTAGATGTGGTACAGACTAGTGATAGATAATGGCATTCAAATCCTTCATGATGTGGCATTGTTTGAAGGTATAACACACATCTTGAAGTGGGAGGTTGTTGGTGAAGATAAGATTTTTTTTTTTTTTTTTTTTTTCTCCTAAGCTTTTTCTTCTGCTTCTTACCTGATTAGGATCTCTTTGGGAGACAAAAAGCATGCTCCTGATGGAGCAATGCAGATGGCGGTAGGAGTACCAACCCCCCCTTTTCCTTGTCTCCTATCTTTTGTGTACATGTCTTCCAACATCAGCGCAACCTCTTCCTTACCCACTCGCCACTTAATTCTTGCTTCCTTTTAAGGTACTCATATCAGTCTCAAACTTAGGTCAGTTTATAATACACTGCTGAAAATCACTTTACCATGAGATACCTAATGAAAATCTTTGTCATGTTCATATGACAAAGATGATATATGTGAAGAAACACTCATACCATTTTTTAAGTAATTCTCTCAGATAAGCTGAATGTTATAGAGGAAAGAAAAACACAAACTTTTTTTTATTCATAGGAGCACAGAATTTTGATGTCATCAGACTTTCAACGTATCGAACAGCCTGTAAACTGCGGTTTGTACAAAAAAGATGTAATCGTAAGTTATAATTACTCTTTATCTTCAAAAATTTCTCATGCATGATTGTTTCAAATATTCTCCCCATGTGAATTTTAAGTACAGCAAGAGTAAGCAAATGTTTTATCAGACAATGGTAGCTGTTACTTAAACTAAACAGAGATTAAATATATAATTAAAAAGAGGCAGCAATCTTTGTCCAATGCTCTATAATAGCTTCAGTTTTATTCTTTAATGTTTCAAAAATTTAAAATATATGGGCCAGCTTGATGTATTTCAGTTGCCCTAAGTGTTGGATGCAGGCAGTCCCAAGCTATTTGAGCTCCTGTTCCATCATGGTGTACCTGTGTACAGACCATGTACACACCAGGTGTCTGGATCTGATCATGGTGGCATATATGAAATGTAGCAACCGTAAAGAATTCTTTAAGCTCATACCATACAAGTCAGTGCAAGGTTTCTCATTCTCTGCCATGATCCTTTGACCTTGGATAGCTCACCAAAGATTAATCCAAGGGTGAATAGGTGATACCACTTTGCATTCTGCTACCAGTGTTGAACTGGACAAAGCAAAAAGCGGAACCAACTAATGTACGCAGGAATAGGTCCCTCCTCCCAGTGACCTGGAATTAGTGTGTGTCTGGTGTGGAAGGGGACAGGAGAACAGCTGAGGAGTCCTGTAGAGGACATGTGCAACCGCACACTGCAAATTGTAGCTCCTCCGTAGCGCAGCTGACCCCGGGATGTGTGTGTCTCTTAGGGCTGTTGTGGCAGTACCCGCAGTGCCTTTAGTTTGATGGATGGCTTACAACTTTTTCATTCCTGTGGAAAAGTGTTAGTTCTTGTCTGTAATTCATGCTTTTGAATGAAAAATCTCTCAATCAGTAGAGGTATTAAGAAATGCTAATTATAGTACATTGCACACATTGGGCCCAACTCGCTGATGCCATGCATATGCCTTGAGTAACCTTTACATGATCTTTGTCTGGACCACAGGGTGATCCAGGGGCATATGCTTGGTGTGAAAAGGTAGCTTGGCTTTTATCGTTGTGTGGCTTTTATGTGAGAAATATAAAGATGAGTTTTATGTAAGAAATGTTGGAGATCACACTCTTACTTCAGACCCTTTTTTATAAGGTAAGGAAGATAACGAAAGTTGTGAAGTTAGCAAGTAAGTCTGTCCTTTGTAACTGTTGGATCACGTTCAGGTTGGACTGATGGATTATTGTTGATCCTGAGATGTCTTCTCCCACTATCATGCATACCTTTCAAGCTTTGAAACATTATAAAATGTTATTTAATGTGGTTCTGCAGATCATTTACTGTGGTTTTGGAAAACTTTTTCTCTACATTGTTAACACTTCTTAGATATGCGCTAAGATATGGCAGGGTAATTTAGGGAAACTCTTTGGAGCTCTAGACCTATGTTTACAAAGTATTATGCTCTGGACTTGGCAACTGGATCAACTGGAAACAGTCATAGTTTAACTGGAACATCAAGTTCCTCCTTCAATACCCAACTACTAGTCAGCATGAGGATGTTCAAAATTATTGTAACCAATTTGTAGTGTTTTTAGAATATGGCTGATGTCTTTCTCAAATGAAAATACCTAACTCTGCTAAAATGCACTGCATGATGATGGAAGATCGCTTTTCTCCTTTATGTAGTTTTTCTGTCAGAGTACCCAGACGTTGAAAGGTGGAATAAAAGGCACGCAAGATGTCTGGGCACTGCTCTGTTACTCATAGTTCATGTCAGCTAGTTTGAAGTATGAATATTAAGAGTCTGTCTCTCACTTCGAATACAAATAAGTAACTGTTCATTCCAAAATAAAAGCTAACATAGTATTCGGAAACAGTACCATAAAAGTAAGCTTGCATGCATTACAGAAGAGAAGTTAATTTTTTTTCCTTTATTTTTAGTTCATCTTGTTGATATCTGGAATATGATTGAAGCCTTCCGAGATAATGGCCTTAACACTTTGGATCATAACACAGAGATCAACGTGTCTCGACTAGAAACAATCATTTCATCCATCTACTACCAGCTAAACAAACGCCTTCCTTCTACTCACCAAATCAGTGTAGAGCAATCCATCAGCCTCCTCCTCAACTTCATGATAGCAGCATATGACAGGCTAGTAACTCCTCTAGTTGTATTCTTAAACTAATTTTCTCTTTTAGTTAGATGAATGCAGCCAACAACTGCATGAGTCTCCGGCAAACTGTCCGCATGCTATTTCTCAAGTTCATGAAATTGTGTGTTGCACATACACACACATATATTTAATATCATAGTAGTGCCTGCAGAGAATTTACATTGCCACTGCAGCAATGCTTTGTCTTAAAAATTACTTTCTTAAGAAAGATGAGTTAGTGCCTTCTGGAACTTGGAGACTGCTGTAAGCCGCGTATCTGAACTGAAGATGAAGTAAAACTGTGTTCTGCAGACTGTGATAGAACATAATGTTAACTTCATGGTGGTATAGCACTGTTTTTAAAAAGTGAAAGTGTTTTATTGAATCTTGATCAACAAGACCGTTTTATAATGCTGCCTTGTTTTGACAGTCAGCTTGGATCCTATTCTGACATGCTGTGACCCCATAAAGGCTAATTCTCATTTCTTGGCTGGAAGAAGCTTGATTTCTTGTTCAGGATACTGTCTGGGCATTTCCTTGTGTCCAGTTTTATGAGTTTTTTTCACACCGTCTTTCTTCAGGGTTCGGTCTGCTCATCTTCTTGAGTAGATGTGTCTCTGTGGGTTCTCTGAGTAGCAACTGCAAATCTTTCACTGTTGTTTAGCACTTCTTACTTTTTGTCTTACCTTTCTCACAGTCAGCTATTATTTCAGTCTTATCTTTCTTCTGCCCTCTCTCCTAGCAGTAGAGAACTGCTTGTGGCCAGGAAGCTGTCACAGAGACCGAGGAGTTTTACCCAAGACAATCTGCAGCACTGAATCTGCCAAACAGTTGTTCTGTTTGTAATGTCCAGACTTTGATCGTTTCCTAATGTGATGGCTTCTTATTGTCACCAAACAGAAGCTAGGTCTCCCCCCAAAAAAGTCCCAAGAGTTCAGAACAAGCCCTGTCTCACTAAGGACAGATAAAAACAACACAAAGCTCAAGCAGGAAGACTGCTACGACAACAGAATCAAACGTTTATTTTCCTGTTTAGTTCTGATTTGGTATTAGTTGTGAGATGAGTTGTAAGGGTTAGCTGATGGGTTTAGCTATTCTGAGACAGATCGTGCTAGAAAAATACAGAATTTAAAAATAGAAACGGTCATGTTTTGGGGGACTGGCCCAAAAGATTGAGGCTTTAGTTAGAGATAATGTTTTTCTTCCCCACTGCCCCCAACCCTGCAAGTTCTGCCTCTTCTGGAACCCAAGCAGCATGCTTGATCCCAGCACAGTGCAACAGCTTCTCTTTAGCTTCCTCTAGCTGGTACGTGGGATTGAGAGAGAAGCTGGGATGCTGCGCTGCGTTGTGCAATGGGAGAACCAAGAATAAAAGGAGAAGCAGGGCTGAGGCTCCCTCTCCAGGAGTTCATCAACATGGCAGACATTTATTTAAAAAAAAAAAAGTATACATCTGCACTGGAATTGCATCATTGGGGTAGCTGTGTGGTTGCTTGAATGCACGTAGCCCAGTAGTTTCTTACAAGGTGGTCCTGGTGGTAACATCACAAAGTCATTAGCATTCCACCAAACAGGTACAGGAATCAGAGAGTTGACTAGCATCTTCCCCATGGGAATATTTAAGTTAGAGCTTATGTTAGGTAAGTATGAACACTTTGCTGGGACCTGTAGAACAACACTGATCATGGTGCAGAAATGATGGCTCATACTGCATCAGTGGTGAGTTGTGAGGAGGAATGGCTTTGGTACGATGATCTTCGCCGCTTTCTTCCACAGAGCTTTGCATGGGTGTTTAACAGTTTATTCCGGGTCTGTTTTTCCCAATAGCCTCTCATGGCTTTCCAAAGTCCCTGACCCATTACTGGCACCCCAGAGTTACGGCTCGTTCCATGACCCCATTTGACTTTCAGAGCAATCAGTTTTTTATTTCATCGTTTCTAGAAATCGCATTTGATTTGACAGTGGATTTAATTGCTCCAACTTCTTTTTTCTTTTTAAATTGTAGGTATCAAACCACACTGTATGCTGGTAATAAAGCAGCGTGCAATAAGGGGGAGGGAGAGGGTGACCAGCAAACAAATGACAAAGTGAGTTAGCAAGCAAAGTGTGGAGTGATGTGATTAGGAGGAACCTCGTAATCAGCACAGCAGAGCTGGAAGGGGCATATGTGTATACGTAAGGAAATGCCTACAGATCAGCATTATGCAGAAAGCTCTCGTGCCTTTTCTGGGAAATCTGCATGACCGGGTGCCTCTCTGAAGTGGCTGTACAGTATTGCGTGCAGCATGGGGAACAAACAGGAGGAATGAGAGGTCTGATTCCTCTGGAGAGGACACGGTGGGAGAGCTGACACAACTGGAGTGCTGCAGTGGGTTCTTTAGGAGGGACAGACGAGGAGGGGGAGTTGCCCTTTACGTGAGAGAGCGGCTGGAGTGCATGGAGCTCTGCCTGGGGACGGATGATGAGCCAGCTGGGGGTTTGAGTCAGGATTAGTGGGCAGACTGACGTGGACATCATTGCTGCGGGTGTCTGCTACAGACCGCCTGGTTAGGAAGATGCAGAGGATGAGGCTTTCTTCAGACAACTGGAAGAAGCCTCATGTACACAGGCCTAGTCTTTTTAAACAAGTCCCCTAGTTCTGTTTCAAATCCTGAGAACTCCTGATTGTTTTCGGAGTTTAAAAAATCATATTGAAAGTTTTGCCCTTTTTCCTTTTGATAGGCAATTCAGCAGATTGAATAGCATTGGTAGAAAAACAGATTTTGGCAAGCTGCTTAATAACTACACCTCTACCAGATTGCAGGGGGAGGAGTTTGGGGTTTTCTTCTTGATGAATAAACAGAATGTCAGCAGAAGCAGGCCTATATTGGAAGGCACCATAAGATATCTTTCCAAGGATAAGGTTGTGTCCTGTGAGGAGATACTGATGGCTTTAGTCACGTGTTTTTTCTGGAAATTAATTCAAAGCTGAACTTTCTTTTGAGAGAAAATTAATTTCTATTGAAAAGAAACATGGGAGGGGGGCTAAGACTATAACTTATGGAAATTTGAATTAGTCAGTAAGATTTGCTCAGCTAAAAGTGGAGGTCAAGGCTTGAAGAGGATGAACTTTTCAGACAACCAATTTCAGATGTAGTCGAGTCTTAGTTTTTTTTCTTACACACAGAGAGAGTGCCAACTTATTCCTTTGAGAAAGCTATTTAAGAGAAAAGAGAGAAACAAAGTAGGATAGCTGAGATCTTTACCTTGTTGTTAACTATATAGCCTTTATATAGCTTGAAATAAATATCTAATGTGTTTACTTTTCTCCCTTTGTTTAGTTTCTTTAAACAACCGTTAAAAGGGTACTGGATATCAACAAAGTGATGGCCTTTGAGTCACCATTCCTCTTCACAGATCTTCCTGCAGTTGTAGCTCTAGGACAGATTGCCTCTCTTCTGTAGAGGGAATATTTGGAAGATACTCTGAGTCTGTATTAAAGAAATAGTACATTATACTTCAGATACTTCTCAGTCTGAGAAGGGTTGAGAGCCTTTACCTCACCATGGAGTGTGTGTCACCCAAAGATATTTGCATTAACTCTGAATGTGGGAGGGGAAAAAAAAGTTATTTGGTCACTTCCTGATAATCTCCATCTGATTGCTTGTCTGTCATTGACATCAGACCTTGTCACAACTTTAATACCATGAGCCAATGTTTACTTCAAGTAATTTTACTCTTAATGCTTTCCGAGTGCTAGTGTTCAAGTGCAAATGTTAAATGAGCATCTCATTTCCACTGAGAAGTATTGTAGAGTTCTTCCAGATCGCTTCTAACGCTCATCGTGTATTTTCCCCATCATCGTATTTCCCATGATAGTACAAATTATCTGTCCCATACATTTAATTACAGTTACTTGAACATATTTTAATTCTTTTTCTCCTTTTATATGTGACTTTAACTTTCTTGGTTGTTTATCAGTCTGTACCACTGTTGCTGTTTATAGTTAAGGATAATGACTGGGTACATTTCTGTTTGGCAATAAGTTGCTCGGAATTCCAACAGCTTTTACGCACGTTTACACACATTTCTTTTGCCCTGTGCACCACTAAACTAATGTTCTACCGACTTCACAGTGACAGTGGATTTACACTGAGATCGCCACACCGTGGCTGTCTAATATCACGTGTTGGAAGTTCTCCGACTCCTGTCTTTATTACTGTGAAAGGTGGTAGAGAAATTCAGGAGACAGGGAGGTGGGATGCATGCCTTCTGGGCCAGCACTAAGCTGGGAGAAACTGTTACTGCTATCGGCTGCCCTGTGCTTTAACCCAGCCAGCCGCCTTCTGTGTTTCTGGTGCCTTGCTTCCCTCATAATTTCATCCTTATCTTTCTTTCTGGTAACAGAAGTTTAAATCAAGGAGTAAAAATTCAAAGCAACTAACAAAGGGTAGCAGAGGAAAAAGAGATGTTTTACAGTGAACAAATGTATTTTAATGGAAAAAATTAACACGTTACTCTTTTTATAGGACGGTTATGGGATGAACAAGAGAAATGATACTGTATCTGTGCATTTTTCCTAATGCTGCAAGAAAATTTGATTTGTGATTAGATACTTGTTAACTCTTCCAATATATTAAAAATGCTATTTTATCACTGTTTGAATGTTATATTAAATAGTTTTGGCAGATCTTAGTAGTTAAAGGAGGGCATTTATGCATTTCTTTCCTAGGCCTCAAGTATTTTTGTTACTTATCATTCTATGCAGTAATTACTTACCATGTAATTTTTTTTCACAGTGAGGGCCATGGGAAGCTGACGGTATTTTCAGTGAAAGCTATGTTAGCAACAATGTGTGGCGGTAAAATACTGGACAAATTAAGATGTAAGTATTTTCAAGTAAATCAAACCATTTTATGAAATATTTTGTTTCCATTACTGGCCACATATTTTTTTTTAATTGTATTAAGTTCTGAAAGCTAACTTTTTTGCTTATTCAGCCATCTTTCTATGGAAACGAAGCTTGCTATATTAATGTTTTTGTTACACATGCCATCTGCTGGCTGTGAAACATACTGAGTTTGTTACTGAGTAGGCTTTACAAGTACATTTGTTTATTTTGAAATGCTTGGGCGCTTCTTTAAATGTAAAACTTCAGGTCTGATTTTTCTGATAGTAATGTCAAATTTGTTGCCATTTCCCCTGTTTTGAGGATGTTGGGGGGCTTCTGTGTATCTTCCGCTTCATCTGAGGTGCTCTCTGCGTCTTTTCATTCTGTAATTCCAGCTTCTCAGTTCTTTATTTTTTAACTCTTTTTTTATTCTCTTCATCAATCTTACTTCCTTTTTTCTTGTTTCCATGAGCCTTCTGCTGTGTCAGTAGAGAATCAGAGATACCCATAAACATTGTTTTTGTCCTTTAGTAGTAATTCTTGTTTTCCTACCTTTCTTAATGGCAAGGTGTACTGTTGTTATGGGTGGTTTTCTTTTCATTTCCACCCTGAAAAGTTGGGAAGATAATCTTACTGTCAGTGCCAGATTTTACTGTTCAGGTCTTGCCATTTTCACCTCACTCTAAATGCCTTTTATGAAAGTTATCTTGTAATAATTCGTTCCTCCTAATCTCCATGGTTGTCATTCACTGTAAATAATTCTTTAGACTTTTCTACATCATTAAGCTTCTTTATTATATTTGCTTTAAAACTAGCAACGTGAAATACTAGTGTGCTGAATTAAACTACATGACAAGGTCTGAAAAATAGATAGTGAGAAATCATTGCATGCACACATTGATATTATGGCTGCACATGTTTCAGTACCAGGAAATGCCGTTTTTTAAATCTGGTAGTAACTACAAAATTCTCCGATTAAAAACAAAGCTGCAGGTGACTAAAGATTAGTGTTAAATAAAGGGGACAGGCATATATGACAAAGGATATTTAAGACTTCTTAAGCATTTTTAACAAATTACCTCTATAAAACCTGCAAGATCAAACGCTGGGGTAAAGAGATAGAGGCTATATCTCCTCAGTAAAAGATTGCATTTTGGATTTAATTAGGATAAGATTTGAGGAGGTTACAGTAGATGAGCAGTTCAGCACAGGCCTGGGACGGTAAAGGAGCATTATTTCTAGAATTAGCAAGAGAATACTGAAACACATCAAGAAAATGGCAATGTGACCTTTTAGTGGAAAAGGCGATTAACCACAGGAATTAAATGTTACAGGAATCAGTAAACTTTTGATGTTTTCAGACAAAACCCTAGGTATCGTTCTAGAAGCCTCAAGGTGTTGATTCCAAAGGTTGTTAGTTAAGATGCTTTTGCCTGAAGGACACCTCATTTAATAGTCCTATTTATCAGGTGTGTCTAGTCTTAAAGCTTAAAATTTGTGCATTTAATGTACTGTTCTTTCTCTCTCTCTCTGTCTTTTCATAATGTCTGCTTTTCTTCATAGCATTTGAAGCTTCCTTTTTCTCTTTTCTTATTCTGTTGGCTCCTGTTTCCTTTGCCACTAACTTTCTTCTTTATAAAAATTCTTAACTGATGGTCATACACTTTGGACGAAAGGCTTTTGACTGCTTTCACTGAATAGTGCTGCTCCTTATAGCTTTGTTATATTCTGGTTGTTGTGCCGTTTACTTATTCTTTCTTGTATCTTATCATAGAATCACAGAATAGTTTGGGTGGGAAGGGACCTCTAAAGGCCATCTAGTCCAACCCCCCTGCCGTGGGCAGGGACATCTTCAACTAGAGCAGGTTGCTCAGAGCCCCGTCCAGCCTGACCTGGAATGTTTCCAGGGATGGGGCATCCACCACCTCTCTGGGCAACCTGGGCCAGTGTTTCACCACCCTCAGCGTAAAAAATGTCATCTTATATCTAGTCTGAATCTCCCCTCTTTTAGTTTAAAGCCATTCCCCCTTGTCCTGTCGCTACAGGCCCTGCTAAAAAGTTTGCTGCCATCTTTTTGATAAGCCCCCTTTAAGTACTGACAGGCTGCAGTAAGGTCTCCCCGAAGCCTTCTCTTCTCCAGGCTGAACAACCCCAACTCTCTCAGCCTTTCTCCATAGCAGAGGGGTTCCAGCCCCCTGATCGTTTTCGTGGCCCTCCTCTGGACCTGGTCATCTGACCTCTGCTGTCCCTTTTTTCTTGGCACACTTCTGTTTGGATGTGGAGCATCATTTTCAAAGAGCACGCGGCTTTGTATTTGACATGTTTTGGACAGTAGCACTTCTGTCTTTTTTTAATTCAGTGTTAAAACTCAGTTCCTCTCCTTGCCTTTTCAGTATGTCGCTCGCACTGACTTGCCACCATGTGGTGTTTCTGGGCTAGTTCTTATGACAGGACTAACTGTTGACCACACCTATTTAAAACCTGGTTTTGGTGAGGATTTTCTTCATGTTGTTCTGTCAGGTGTAGTATCTTATGAGTCAACTGAGAAAGAAAAATTTCTTTATCTGTAACTGTAATGCTGATTTGCCACTGCTTTGTATGGTCATGGCACTTTCTTCACGTGCATCGTCTGCTGTGGACACTCCTCTGTCACTTCTGGATACTCCTCTGTCCCCTCATGCTCTCGTTGTTGTCTCTGCTTAGTTGGAGACAAAGTTGAAGACTGGAACCAGCTCGCTGTTATTCTCTAAAATGCTCATAGTGCCATGTGCAAGGTTAGACACAGAGGCAGAGCCTCGGCGCATGATTAACAAAATTGTCCAGGAAAAGGGGATTTTGGCTAATTTGGATTTGAATAATTCCAATTTGAAATTTTGGAATTGAGATTTTTAGGAGTATAGGACATCTGTGCAGGAGGGAAAAGCTTTCTCTAAACCAGGATAGAATTAGGCTGTTGACTTTTCAGACAAGGTCAAAGGACAGCTTTCTGTGGAGTGTGGGAGAAAATCTGAGATTCAGGGCAGTAGGATCTTGTAAACCTTCTGAGGGCAGAGGAGAAGAGAGGAAATGTGTCGTGTTGTTAGCAGAGTAAGTTTCTGAGTATCACCAGAACTCCATAAAAGTAATAAAATAGCTGAACTGTTACCTGTTGGTTACCTGTCTTTCTGAAAACTTTCTAAGAGGCAAGGGAATGGGAAGAAGAACGTGTCATGTGAAGTTTGGGAGGGGAGATGTGGGGAGCTGCAGGCCTGTATACCTGGCACACGTTCTGGGCAAGCTGTTAGTAATAAAAAATAGAATTAGTTGACGCATGGATAAATGAGATTTTATTGTTGGGGGAAATGGCTTTTGTGAAGGGATTCCTTATAAAACCACAGGAGTTCATTAAAGGAGGCAATAGAAAAACAGATGGACAAAAGAGTTCTGGCTGATACAGACTTCTTGGATTTCTGAAAGGCATTCACAAAGGTCCCTTATCAAATGCCCTTATCAGATATTTGAAAGTTTGATGAAAGGGATGAAAGGTGGGGTCTTTGTGCGGGTAGAAGATTTGCTAAAAGGAACCAAAAAGGAGCAATAAACATCCTTTTTGTATATTGAGGTTGGTGGATAGTGCTGGACCTAAACTGTTTTTAACACTGTCATAAATGATCTGGAAAAATACAGTGAAAGGTGACAATTTGATACAAAGTAAATCAGTGTAGTAAAAGCTAAAATAGACTGAAGTGTTGTAGTATCATCTGACAACACTGAGTAACTGTGAAATAAAAAGGTAGGTGAAATTCAGTGTGAATATATGTAAAGTGGTGTATGCTGGAGGAGTGAAGTGTAATCCTAATGCGATGCACAGAAAGGTGAGCTAAGAAAGTTGTTGTTGCTCAGATGAGACATCTTGGAGCTATACTTCTATGAAGATATTAACACTCTAGTAATGGCTAAAAACCATATGAAATGTTACAGAGGGGAAAGACGTGAAGAACGAAGCGGAGAGGTAAAGGCGCTGTATAAATCCATGGTGTCTTTATGCTTTGAGTGAGTGCTGCTCTAGTACCCCCGTCTGGTACTCTGCCCTTTCCAGTTCTGATACGTCTTTTCTGAGCAGAACAACAAAGATCTTCAAAGGTAGAGAAAGCTTTCTGTACAAAGAACGACTAGATAGAGCAGGATTCTACAACCTGGAAAGAGAAATGGTGGTGAAAGGATAGTGTTCTTTAAAATCATGAGCAACGTGTTAGTGGTGAACAGAAAACAGTTGCTCCTTTCCCCTTCCAGTACAAGAACTAAAGGGCTGTAACTGAAATTAGCAGTGACAGATTGAAACAGCAAAAAGCAATACGTCTTTAAACTTTACCAAAGGATGTTGTTGGTATCAAACGTTTACACCGGTCGATTACTCCTTGAACCAATTTCGCTGAAGGCAAATTCATCAAAGGTTGCTGAATGCAAAGATGCTCTCGGTGAGTGGAGGAATATTCTGGGCAACGTGCTTGCCTGAGCCATCTGCTGTTGGGATAAACAGACTTTTGATCTGATCTGCCTCAGCTGTTCTCATATTCTTTATTTCTTCTTCTAATCGTTATGAATATGCTGTCTTGTTTTTTTTCCCCTTTCCTGTCTTTCCCACCTGTCTCTGATTACTGACCCATTTCATCACTGAACTTCTGTTTCCAGTTTACTTGTTCCCCTGATTCTACCCCCACTCCTGCACTGCCTCCGCTCCCTTTCCTAAGCCGGCTGTCGGCTCCGGCTCAGCTGGAACGTGAGGCTTTCTGGAAATCCTGGAAGTTGTAAATTTTTTTTTTCCCCCCTCATCTCATAATTTATATGAATGATAGTAACTTAATCTCTGTACTTGCATATGCACAGGCTTATTTTTTTTTTAATCTGAAAATGTGAACAAATGGAGTGTTTTTCAGTCCATACAGTGTCTGGCAGCACATATGAAATGGGAGTTGTTCAATGATACCACTTTGCTGTCTCTGGAAAAGATTATT